CAGTTATATATATATATATATATATATATATATATATATATATACATACATAAACATGCAAACCTAAATAACACATAAAATACTGAACATACAAGCACAACAAAGATTTATGGTACAAAACAAAACAACCCCTTACCTCCCTCCGCACCCTAGGGACTTAAATCATGCCACACTAATGGTGCATGATTACTCAGCCTGCATTATCAAGATATAGGAGAAGAGGAGACCAAATCGTATCCAATTTATTTACCAACAGGAATCTATTTTTTTCCAAATGTAGTACCTTAATCATTTCTTCCAACCAAAGTGGGTCAGGCTCTAATACACTGTGTATATCTGACAGAGTTTTAAATACTTCAGTCCAGAATGAGATTTGAACACAGAACATTACTATGCAATGAAGTGGCTACATCAGTCTGACATCTGTCACAATATGGAGAGACATCTGGAAAAAGTCAATGTAATTTTCTTGTGATGTAAATCAGTGAGATCTTTATAACAGTACAGCAGATGCTGTCATAAACTGCTCTAAATATCAGTGGTCGCTGTATATCTCCAGTAATAATAAGATGAGATTGAAATGCTCCAAACATATAATGCAGTGATTGAGAGCTGAAGAAATAAAGGCTCCTCAGAAGATGTGAGATGTTCTGGAGGCTTGTGAAGATCATTCCTCCGCTGAGGAACAGTGAAAGTAAAGCTTCTGGAAACAAACGCTCCTCAAAAGATCCTGAGGATCAGATTTGAGACTCTAAAACATGATTGATGGAGAATCAAGTAAAGCTGAGCTGCTTCAGTCCAGTAAGTGTTCATCTGGAGATATTACTGACGTTATTCTGACCTTTACTTGATAGAAATCAGTTAAGATTTGACACGAGAAGCTCCAGCTGAAGCTGGACGTTTGTACAATTACACTAAAAGAGCTTTAAACTATCAATCAGAGACAGAAGACATGGAGCGGATTGGTAAAGAAAAATCGTAATGTTCTGATATGAACTTCATTTGTTTGTTCACTGTGATCAGGAGGTTCCGAGCTTTAAACTATCAATCAGAGACAGAAGACATGGAGCGGAATGTGTGCGACAGCAAAGTTTGATCATTTAGAGGCCTCTCTGTATGAAATATGATACAGTCGCTTTACGGGGTAAAAGAAATCGTAATGTTCTGATATGAACTTCATTTGTTTGTTCACTGTGATCAGGAGGTTCCCCTCATCTTGCAGATCAGACAGAGATGGTTGAGGACCCTTACGAGTTCCTGCAGTCTCCAGAGCCCGGATCCACCGCTAACAGCTGATGTGACTCTCAGACGGACTCGCTGGGATTATGTGCTGTTCTAAAGGACCGGACAGACTCACTGCATCACCTGCTTGTTTTTAAATAAAACCTTTGTGTCTGATTTCCTCTTTTATATGGTTGTTAAACGCTGTTTTTTCTTCCTGACCACATGTCGTTTGATCTGCAGTAGTGGTGCGTTAAGCTCACGTTGCTTCTCTTTTTTTACCTCGTGAACGTTAGGAAGTAGAACTTCACATCTCCAAAACCCTTTTGTCCAAATATTACTGTGGTTCTCAAATGGTTTTGTTTCAGGAGTCATTTTATACGCAGCCCAACAAAGTGACAGAATCGTTTGACTCGCTGGGATTATGTGCTGTTCTGAAGGACCGGACAGACTCACTGCATCACCTGCTTGTTTTTAAATAAAACCTTTGTGTCTGATTTCCTCTTTTATATGGTTGTTAAACGCTGTTTTTTCTTCCTGAACACATGTCGTTTGATCTGCAGTAGTGGTGCATTAAGCTCACGTTGCTTCTCTTTTTTTACCTCGTGAACGTTAGGAAGTAGAACTTCACATCTCCAAAACCCTTTTGTCCAAATATTACTGTGGTTCTCAAATGGTTTTGTTTCAGGAGTCATTTTATACGCAGCCCAACAAAGTGACAGAATCGTTTGGTGTGCATAAGTAAAAACGAAATGCCTTTCAAATAAAACATTGACATTTATTACACAATTTTGCACAAAGAATTAAATAAAAGATCTAAAGTCATTACTGAGTGACATGAGAAAAATGACTTAAAATTCACAATGTTCACTTTATCGTGGCAAGTTTATTTTTCATGCACAATAGGAATTCAAAGTGCTTTGCATAAAAAGGATTTCATAACAGATCAACATAAAATGCAAGTTTATTTCAAATTGAAAAATGTTGCATTGTAATCACTAGTATGCAGCACAGTGCGTATTCATTAAATGCACAGCTAAAAGAAAACAAAAAAAAAAATGTGAGTTTATTATTTTATGCATTGCATTAAGATGAAAATTCTTTCATGTTTTCCTGCAATGTGCTGAACTCTCACATGCATTCATGGAGAGCTCTCATTTGCATTTGGCTTTGCATGTCCTAGTGGTCACTAGGTAACAGTTAAGATCTCCCAGCCCTGAGAACTTCAATGCTCTGTAGTTTTATTGCAATCACGTTGTTTCCGTATCGAATTACAGTCACACAATGGTGCACATTTTTAGAAGTTGTAATTCCACTTTCATGATTCAGTTTGCTGTTAAATGTTTTCACATTTCTTTGCGTTGATTTGTTGTTTATATGCGCTTTAAAAAAAAGTGTAATGTCAAATGAAGCGTTTCAGCTTCGCATGAGTAGCACATTTATTCCGTTTAATAATCATGAGCTGTAACCAGGCGAAGTGCACCGTGATCTATTAATATTCATGAGCCGCCGCTCGCCATTGGAAGTCTCCGGAGCGTGACGTACGCATGACCTAATTAATATTCAACAGTTACGCTTTCGCTCTAGTGGTTCATATTTTATCCGCTTGAAGTCAGAGGCGCACCTCGCCTCGCGTCCTATTAATTGACGAATAATGAACATTTTAAGGATTTGATATGCTACATTAGATATTGCAGCGTTAAAATAGGATATTAAACAGCTTCAGACTGGATAATGGCTTTGAAAACGACTCTTCTGCTGTACAGTGGACTGTGAAGGAGATGATGAAGAAATCAATGGATCAGCAAACTGTATCCTAGAGATCCAAATGATCAACAACAGATGTTTTTCCAGAGAAAACTGCTGGAAGCTGTTCAATGACGAATGCAAGTGGCTTTTTATTCATGCAAAATGCATTTATTTTTGTATTGTATTATATTTTCTTAGTCACTTTTTAATTAAGCTCTGCCTTATTGTGTTATTAAAAGTGGAATAAAGAAGCAGCATGCTTATTCTGTGTGCAAAGGTAATAGTTTGCATGGTTATGCATAACAGAAGAGTTCCTGGTGCATTGGTTTTGTGTGAGTTACTCATTATTAGACTGTTTTCACTCATGTTGGAGTCCCTCAGAGCTTCTTCAGGATGCATTTCTGATGACATTTGCCAGGCAACACAATCTTTCTGTTCATGCTCAACAGGAACAGCTCAGAGTTGATTTGTTCTCTGTCTGAATTCTGCAGCTGTGAGGTACAACATTATTCATTCTGAAGCTTGAAGACAGAACAAGGAAAATCCGAGGATTATTACGGGTTTATGGTTTAAAAACCTGGGCTTTTTGGGAAATGTGGTTGAAGTGTTATTTTAATATTATGGTATTACATGTTATTGTAGTATTTATTTATATTTGGAATGAGTTTTTAATATTAGTTGAGGTTTTTAGTCATTTTGTTATGTGCTTTTTTATTAATTTTGAATTTGAGTAATTTTAAACTTAAATATGTTTAGCTCAGTTTGTTGTTGTTTGTTTTTTGAGTTTGAGTTTGAGTTTTTGATCTAGTATTTTTATTTTATTCCAACTTTATTTCAGCTTCTAGTTAAAAATAGCAGCACTGGTTGCAAGTCGTTGCTAAGGTGTTCTTGTTGGCCGAGTGATGCTGACTGGTTGATGAAGTTGTTGCTATGGTGTTGCTAAGGAGAGGGTTTATGGTTTAAAAAACCTGGGTTTTTTGGGAAATGTGGTTGAAGTGTTATTTTAATATTATGGTATTACATGTTATTGTAGTATTTATTTATATTTGGAATGAGTTTTTAATATTAGTTGAGGTTTTTAGTCATTTTGTTATGTGCTTTTTTATTAATTTTGAATTTGAGTAATTTTAAACTTAAATATGTTTAGCTCAGTTTGTTGTTGTTTGTTTTTTGAGTTTGAGTTTGAGTTTTTGATCTAGTATTTTTATTTTATTCCAACTTTATTTCAGCTTCTAGTTAAAAATAGCAGCACTGGTTGCAAGTCGTTGCTAAGGTGTTCTTGTTGGCCGAGTGATGCTGACTGGTTGATGAAGTTGTTGCTATGGTGTTGCTAAGGAGTTTCTAAGGTGTTCTAAGAGGTTGCTAGGCAGTCACTAATGTGTTTTAGTGACTTTTTCTGTACTGGTTTGTGGACGGCATTTCTAGATATATTACCACCGCACAGTTTCATGAATTTTCAATGTTATTTTAGTATTATTTATGTGCCATTCTAGTATTTATTAATATTTTGAATTAGAATTTATTTTTATATTTTCAGTTTTCAGTATATAATATAATACAATATAATATAAAGTCGTTGCTAAGGTGTTCTGGTTGGCCGAATGATGCTGACTGGTTGATAAAGTGGTTGCTAGGGTGTTGCTAAGGGGTTTCTAGGCAGTTACTAATGTGTTTTAGTGACTTTTTCTGTACTGGTTAGTGGATGGCATTTCTAGATATACGTATTACCACCGTTACTTTCAACTATCATGTAAATATATTATATTATATTATAATACAAACTACATAGTTTCATTCAATTTTAATGTTATTTTAGTATTATGTACCATTCTAGTATTTATAAACATTTTGAATTAGCTTTTATTTTTATTTTTATTTTTTCAGTTTTCAGTATATAATATAATATAATAAGTCATTGCAAGTTGTTGCTAAGGTGTTCTTGTTGGCTGAGTGATGCTGACTGGTTGATAAGGTGGTTGCTAGGGTGTTGCTAATGTGTTTTAGTGTTGCTAGGCGATAGATAGATAGACAATCATTGGATAATAGGATGAATTGGATTTCATAAGAGAACAGGCAGAAAGCTTTACGCTATAAAAATGATTTTTCAAAGCTGTAAACGAACCAAAGAGAAAATAAAATAAAAGAGAAAATACTATTTTAGTCTTTCGACTTCAAAATGTCTCACTTGAGTTGATGCATATCTTAATTCTTTGTGAAATTCACTAGCAGTTTGTTTCAAAGTGAATCCGGCACCAGATGTTTCTAGGAGCTGCGTTTAGACGTTTTTTTTCGGGCTCAGGTTGGTGATTTTGGAAAGAAACTAACTCAAGGTCAGTGCTGACAGTAACAGCTTTGTCAAGCCAACATAATGATGTCAGAGAGTCTTTTAAAATGTGTCATTGTTCAGCTTGAAGGGACTCAGTGAAGAGACCAGTTCTGGTGTTTCCAAACCCTCCAGCTGTATTCATGAGGAGTGTGTGTGTGTGTGTGTGTGTGTGAGTGTGTGTGTGTGTGCGCGCGCCTGTTTTTGTGACAAATGAGGACATACATTTGTATAATGACAAAGGTATGACAGGTATTACAAGGAGAAGGTGACTTTTCAGGACATTACCCCATGTCCCCACTTTTCACAAAAACAAACCTGTTTGTGTGTGTGTGTGCGCGCGCCTGTTTTTGTGACAAATGAGGACATACATTTGTATAATGACAAAGGTATGACAGGTATTACAAGGAGAAGGTGACTTTTCAGGACATTACCCCATGTCCCCACTTTTCACAAAAACAAACCTGTTTGTGTGTGTGTGTGCGCGCGCCTGTTTTTGTGACAAATGAGGACATACATTTGTATAATGACAAAGGTATGACAGGTATTACAAGGAGAAGGTGACTTTTCAGGACATTACCCCATGTCCCCACTTTTCACAAAAACAAACCTGTTTGTGTGTGTGTGTGCGCGCGCCTGTTTTTGTGACAAATGAGGACATACATTTGTATAATGACAAAGGTATGACAGGTATTACAAGGAGAAGGTGACTTTTCAGGACATTACCCCATGTCCCCACTTTTCACAAAAACAAACCTGTTTGTGTGTGTGTGTGCGCGCGCCTGTTTTTGTGACAAATGAGGACATACATTTGTATAATGACAAAGGTATGACAGGTATTACAAGGAGAAGGTGACTTTTCAGGACATTACCCCATGTCCCCACTTTTCACAAAAACAAACCTGTTTGTGTGTGTGTTTGCAGCTGAACTGCTTCGGGCGTCACCGCAGACAGACGGCCCCGGCCCCGGCCCCGCAGATCTCCGGCAGCAGGAGCGAGCTGTGTGCTCCGCCACTTCACTCCAGGATCAACGGCTGGTCTCTTCCTCTGCATGGCTTCCAGCTCCTCGCCTGGCTCGTCTACAGCTTCATGGCCATCGTCGGCTTCGGCATCTACTTGCCTCTTCTCCCGGCGCCGTGGAGCTTCGCAGCGTACGCCGTATCCTTTACAAACAATCCACAGAAACACAAACGTTTATGTTAAAAAATCATATGAACAGTGAGTCATGCCAACTCATATTACTTTAACTCATCAAAATCATTTTCAGTTTCAACTAGATGAGATTTTTAAAAAGATTTGTTGAAATGACAGACAATTTGATTATACTTAACTTGTTTTTACAGCACCACCAATGTTCACATTCGGTTCTGCCATAAACATCCAGTTATACTAAGCACCACAATGCACTGCCAAAATAAAGAGGGAAACTATAATTATTTATATGCTATTGAAGTATTTATTAATAGTTTGAATTAACTTGTTTTGTTTATAATATAATATTTTTATTTATATTTTAGTAATTTTGTTATGTGCTTTTGTCATTTTATTAGATTTTTATATATCTAGTTTTAGTTTATATATAATTATTTTTGCATTATTTTATTTTTTTATATATAATATAATAACTACACTTACATCCGTTTCTTTCCATTTCGATATTTTTTTATTTTTTTATTTTAAATTGAGTTATTTTAAATTTAAGTTAAATTTTATTAAGTTATTTTATATGAAAATGTTGAATTAGCTTTTATTTTAATATTTTTTAGTTTTCAGTTTAATTTTAGTGTAAGCATACATTCAGTTCTGCCTTAAAAATCCAATTATATATATTATATACTGTTGTTATAGCTTTTATTTTTATATTTTTCATGTTAATTTCAGTTTTAGTTTTCATTCAGTTCTGCCATAAAAATCCAATTATGCTAAGCAGAAGACTGTAATTTTTGCGCAGTTTATAATAGAATATAATAGAATATAAATAACTACACTTACATCAGTTTCTTTCCATTTCAGTGTTATTTTAGGATTATTTATATACTGTTGCAATTTCATTAATATTTTTTATAGCTTTTATTTTTATATTTTTTCTTTATTATATATATATTTTTTTTTATTATTATATTTTTCACATTCATTTTAGTTTTAGTTTTCATTCAGTTCTGCCTTAAAAATCCAGTTATACTAAGCAGAAGACTGTCACATTGTATTTTTGTGTCACATTGCATTGCCAAAATAATGAGGGTTTCCCGAGCACTTGGTCTGTTCAAAAATATAATAAATAGACAAAATTCCTGTTGCATTGTCTCGACTGATTGCATGCAAACCCAAACATAGCCGAGAACACGACCGGTTCATCCAATTCATGAACAGATGACTCTTATTTTCAAATGAATCAGTAAAAAAGACTAGAAGGGAGAGGTTATTATGTGAGTATAGGAGAGCATAAGTCTAAGTGGACGTCCATGACATGCGGAGTCCCACAAGGCTCAATTCTTGCACCGCTCTTGTTTAGCCTGTATATGCTCCCACTAAGTCAAATAATGAGAAAGAACCAAATCGCCTATCACAGCTATGCAGATGATACCCAGATTTACCTAGCCTTATCTCCAAATGACTACAGCCCGTCAAAGGAAGAAGCAGGCTTCGTCAGCACACAGACAGCACTTAACAGCGTGAGCTCAATTCCAGGCTGACGTCAGCAGCAGCAGATAACCGGAGGATGTAGTCCTCTCATACAGTCGAGCTGACAGTGAGTCAAACGAACTGTTGTTGAACCTTCACACCTCATGTGTAGCTGATCGGCGCAGTGTTTGTTCTGCATTTGGTGACTCACGTGGCGGCGGTGACCGTCGACCCGGCGGATCTGAGCGTTCGGAGGAGGAAGGATTACTCCAGCCCCATGCCTGTGTTTGACAACACCAAACATCAGCACGTCATCCACAATCTGCACTGCACGCTGTGTGAGGTGGACGTGTACGTACACAAACATCTCATATTTACTGAAACACTGTCGGAAAACAATAGATCAAAGCTGAAGAAAAATTAGAATTACATTTTGCTTCCTGCTTCCTTTTAATTCATGAGTGTAAATTGGAAAGACTGAAAAAGGTTTCTGTGTTGGTTAGTGAGATGGCATTACTAGATATTTTGCCACACTTACTTTCAAATATAAATATCATCTAATAACATATCATATAATACAATACAATACAATACTATATTATATTATAGTATATTATATTATAGACACTTACAGCAGTTTCATTCAATTTCAGTGTTATTTTAGTATTATTTATGCTATTGTAGTATTTATTAATATTTTGAATTAGCTTTTATTTTTATATTTTCAGTTTTCAGTATATAATATAACATATAAACTAATCTAACAGCAGTCTCATTCCATTTTATAGTTATTTTAGTATTATTTACATACAGTAATAATGTAGTATTTATTAAAACTTTGAATTAGCCTTTATATTTTTGGTTTTCATTTTAATTCCTTTAAAACTTTTAAAGTTTTAATTATAGACACTTACAGCAGTTTCATTCAATTTCAGTGTTATTTTAGTATTATTTATGCTATTGTAGTATTTATTAATATTTTGAATTAGCTTTTATTTTTATATGTTCAGTTTTCAGTATATAATATAACATATAAACTAATCTAACAGCAGTCTCATTCCATTTTATAGTTATTTTAGTATTATTTACATACAGTAATAATGTAGTATTTATTAAAACTTTGAATTAGCCTTTATATTTTTGGTTTTCATTTTAATTCCTTTAAAACTTTTAAAGTTTTAATAATTTTGTTATATGCTTTTGTCATTTTTATTAATTTTTTTCAATATTTCTAGATTTGTTTTTATTTTTATTTATTTTTAATTCTAGTAATTTTATTACTTCTATTTAAACTTTTATTTTTAGTTTTTCATCCAATAATACTGTAAATTATAAAAAGTAATTTTAGTATTATTTATATACTACTATAGTAATTATAGTTTTATTTTATTTTTTTCAGTTTTCATTTGAAGTTTTAGCAATTTTTTATGGGCTTTTGTCATTTTTAAATATTTCTATTTAGCTTTATTTTTATTTCAGCTTTAGTAATTTTAGTAAGTCAACTTAAATATTTATTCCACTTAGTTTCTAAGTTTTCTAAGCATTTTTTAGCATATATTTACTGTATATTTTACTTTATTTCAGCTTTATTTTAATTAATAAAAACAAAAGTTTTAGTGAACAATAACAATGTTCCGTTTTAATTTAATTTTCTTAAATTCGGCATCCTGTTTTCTACCTCAATTCAAATGTAAGAATTTAAAAATTCTCAGTTCCCTTTCATGGGAACTTCGAACTGCGTCCTCTAGGTTCCCAATAGCGACCCCTAGAGGACGCAGTGTCTCGTTCCCTACTCAGGGAACCATGGTTACATAAGTAACCTGAGACGTTCCCTTTCATGGGAACTTCGAACTGCGTCCTCTAGGTTCCCAATAGCGACCCCTAGAGGACGCAGTGTCTCGTTCCCTACTCAGGGAACCATGGTTACATAAGTAACCTGAGACGTTCATTTGTGAATGCCACACAGCTATAGATGTGTTTTTTCCAGATAAGCGTTTGCTTTAGTGAATAATCAGCTTCTCCTTCACAGCGCACCTAAAGCCAAACACTGCAGCACCTGCAACAAATGCATCGCAGACTTCGACCATCACTGCAAATGGCTAAACAACTGTGTGGGAGGAAGGAACTACTGGTGAGCAGAAGTGCCAGTTGATAACACAAATGTAGAAGCAGCATTTGCATATTTTTGTTTCTAAAGATGTTTGACAGTGTCTGAATGTTCATATAGGAATGACTGGTTTTTCCCAGGTTCTTTTTCATAACCGTCTCGTCTGCTGTCATTGGGATGTTCCTCCTCATTCTTGTGGTCTTGTTTGTCTTCATCGAGCACTATGTGAACCCGGCTGTCCTGCGCACCGCGCCGCAGTTTCAGAGTAAGACCAGCCGTGTCTCTGGACTCAATTCAACTCCTCAGCACAGAAATTAATGTTTTTGTTCATCAAGGATGCATTAAATTGACAGTAAAGACGTTTATAATCTTACAAAACATTTCTATCTCAAATAAACGCTGTTCTTTTGAACTTTCTGTTCATCTGTGAATCCTGAAAAATAAAATGTGTCACAGTTTCCACAAAAATATTGTGCAGCACAACTGTTTTCAACATTGATAATAATCAGAAATGTTCAGCATATTAGAATGATTTCTGAAGATCATGTGACGCTGAAGACTGGAGTAATGATGCTGAAAATACAGCTGCGCATCACAGAAATACATTACAGTTTAACACATATCCACACAGAAAACAGTTATTTTAAATTATAATAATATTTCACAATTTTACTGTATTTTGATTAAATGCAGCAGCCATGGTGAGCAGAAGAGACCTCTCCTAAAAACATTAAAAACCTTAGAAATGCAACTTCTCATTTTCTATACTGCAAAAATTACTTTGATCTTTTGATACTTTGATATTGATAGTCTTGTTTTCTAAAAACAAAAAAACGTGTATCAAAATTATGCTTAAAACAAGAAAAATCTGCGATTGGTTTAAGTTTATTTTTCTTACCCCATTGGCAGATACTTATTTCTTGTTTTGCTTAATTTTAAAACATTTTCAGAAAGCAAGAATCTTATACTCATTACATTTCAGTGTTATTTTAGTATTATTTATATTATTATAGTATTTATTCATATTTTGAATTACCTTTAGTTTTCAGTTTAATTTGTTTTAAAACTTTTGCTTTTGCAAGTGCTTTTGTCATTTTTAACTCTTTCTATTTAGCTTTATTTTTATATTTATTTTATTTGAAAAACAAAAAAAATCTGTGATCGGTTTACTTATTTAAGGTTATTTTTCTTACCCCATTGACAGATTATTATTTAGTTTTTCTGTTTTAAGCATAAACTCACTTTATTTTAATACATATTTCTAAATAGTCATGTTGCTTTTCAAGTAAATGTATCTTGATGGAAGAATCTTTAGATATCTGTGCAGGAAAGCAAAACAAAAATACAGAGTAAGTAATAGATGTTTTTGCAGTGTATAGTTGTAATTTCTGATGTTGTGGTTTGTAATTTCTCTGGCAGCTGTGAAAGGCAACGGCACGTGGCTGGTTTTCCTCCCGGCGGCTCCTTTAGAGACCAGCTCTATCGGTCTGCTGGCGCTGGCCTTCATCACAGTCCTGCTGGCTCTGGCTGCGCTCTTGCTGCTCTGCCACTTACTGTGCTTCCACATTCACTTGTGTGAGTTTGAGCCCGGCGTTATCCACTTTTAAAGGCAGATAGCAGCTTCTGTTCACTCTGTGTCGTGTCTCAGTGTCTCAGGGCATCAGCACTTATGAGTACATCGTCCGGAAGCGTCAGTCGCCGAACCCTAAAGAGAAAGAGCAGGGTCCTCCGGCACTGCCGTCTAACGGAGCCACCACACAGGTACAGACACAACAATATATCACAGATAGAAAGCAATCAATACAGCAAAATGCTAGATAACTCCTTTTGTAATTTTTATAAAATTACTATACAGTTTCATGGATTTCAAGTCATTTTCTTGTCTGTTCAGGTGTGGCCAAAAGCTCATTTTAGGATGTTTAATCGAGCTAAAAGCTCATTCAGAGTATTTATAAATAATGCAATCATCAAATTATTAATAAATCATTGCTTTGAAATGATATGTATTGTTCAAAGCACTATACAAATAAACAATTGCATTCAGTTTAACTGAATTAAATAATACTAAAATAAAATAACTTCTTTGCATGGGGATAAAAAAATATTTTGTATTAAAATTGATGCAAAATAAATTAATTTATAGTTTTTTTAATTGAATTAATTGTAAGATGTTTAACCAAGCTAATTAAATATATTAATAAATACTATAATAGTTAGTTTATTAATAAATCAACTTTTTAATAAAGTTTGTTTATTAAAGATGCATTCAATCTTAGTATTATTTATAATACTACTGAAAATAATTTCTTGATCGTAATATTTAAAACATGCATTGTCTGAAATGCTTTGAAACAATATGTATTGTTAAAAGCTCTACAAATAAACGTGAATTGAAGCATTCTAAAATAACACTGCACAGGAACAAAACACTTGCCATGCAAAAAAAATAAAAATAAATAACAAAAGAATGAATAAAAATCTTGCAATGCAAAGACAACAAAACACTAAATAACTGATGCAAAATATGTTTTTATCATGGATTGCAAGAGATTTTCAGGTGTGGCATGCAAAATAAATTAATTTATAGTTTTTTTAATTGAATTAATTGTAAGATGTTTAACCAAGCTAATTAAATATATTAATAAATACTATAATAGTTAGTTTATTAATAAATCAACTTAATATTTATTAAAAATAATCGTTTGTTTATTAAAGATGCATTCAATCTTAGTATTATTTATAATACTACTGAAAATAATTTCTTGATCGTAATATTTAAAACATGCATTGTCTGAAATGCTTTGAAACAATATGTATTGTTAAAAGCTCTACAAATAAACGTGAATTGAAGCATTCTAAAATAACACTGCACAGGAACAAAACACTTGCCATGCAAAAAAAATAAATAAAAATAACAAAAGAATGAATAAAAATCTTGCAATGCAAAGACAACAAAACACTAAATAACTGATGCAAAATATGTTTTTATCATGGATTGCAAGAGATTTTCAGGTGTGGCCAAAAGTTCATTTCATGTTCAATCATCTGATCTCATGGGAATAGAAGGGAAGTTTTCGACTCCTCAGATCAGAACAGGGTCCCACCCATCAACATCATGCACATTTACACAGACTGGTCTTCTGTGTTTTCTCTTCCTCGCAGAGTCTCGGGCCGCTGGAGTCCCCTGTGAACTGTGACGCGCCGCTCTCCAGCAGGTCTTGGTAAGCTTTAAGTGTGTTTCAAACAGATAGTTAACCCCTTAACTGTCACCGTCCCACCTGTGGGACGCTTGGCACTCTTTTTTGTTGTCCTTTTTAATATATCATTTGAAAGCTTAGAAGCCCAAGATTCATCCTGCGAAAACCATTTTGAAATCGGACATTGCGAAAACCTTTAAAATCGTTTGGCGGTCTCCTCCCCCTTAGTGGGCGGTGTCAAGTGTCATATTACAAAATGCATTACGCTCTTTTACAATCAAAACTTTTTATAATCTTGACAAAAAACATATCATTGGAAAGGTCTGAGTCTCAGGATTCCATATTTAGTGGATAGAAGTAATATTGACAGAGAAATCTAGACATTTGTGACAGAAAAATGCATAAACAAATGTAATAGAGTTTTGGTGGCACATTCCAAATAAATAGATTATGATCCACAAATAAATAGAATGAGATCCATAACGCCCTAAATAAAATCTCACAGGAACCTCTTTTTTCATGTCAACTTCAAATTTGGAACATAACTTATTTAGACATAAGGCTTTCATTTTATACCAATTTTAGAGTAAAACCTGTTACGTAAAATATTTATTATATATAAAATATAATAAAATTAATATAGTGCATTTTCTTTACAGTAAATTTAAACTACCATAACTTTTTGATACTTTTTGATTGTTATTTTTTTGCGATAATCTGCTGATTTTCTTCTTAATTAAAATAAAGCTGAAATAAAGTCAAATATACAGTAAATATATGCTAAACAATGCTTAGAAAACTTGGAATAAACATTTAAGTTGACTTACTAAAATTACTAAAGCTGAAATAAAAATAAAACTAAATAGAAATATTTAAAAATGACAAAAGCCCATAAAAAATTGCTAAAACTTCAAATGAAAACTGAAAAAAAAATCAAATAAAACTATAATTACTATAGTAGTATATAAATAATACTAAAATTACTTTTTATAATTTACAGTATTATTGGATGAAAAACTAAAAGAGACCAAACTTATGTCTGTATTCCAAAGTGTTCATAAATTACAACAGTTTTAAGTTTGGATAGCGCACCTGCATGGGGGTGACAGTTTTGGTCAGATCTTTTCTCAGGCAGTCGCTTCAGATGTTCTGCTACTTTTTTCCCAGTACCTTCAAACTGGAAGATAGAGGACCAACATCCGGTGGACTGCCAGAACCCGTCTGTGCTGAGGTAATCCTGCTCCAAAACAGAGAGAGCTGCCTGTCTAGACCACGTATTAAAGCATCAGAGAAGAAACAACTAATGCTATATCACATCAGTGTTGCTACTGTTAACCAACAACTAAAGGCAACACTATTAAAAAATTTCGGTAATTGAAATAAAGCTGAAAAATAAAATAATTAAATTAATTTAAAGTGAAAATTAGACATTTGGACTTGGCAAAAAAATATGTAAACTAACATTTCAGTAACTGACGTAAAGCTATAATAAAATACAATATAAATATTAGATGAAAACTTTAACAACAACAACAACAGAAAACTTGCGAAAATGATAAATGTTGCCTTGGCAACTAACAGGAAAAAAGTATTAAATCTAGTATTAAAACTAAACCATTATTAAAATTAAAATTAAATAATGTTATGTTTTCGGTATTTGAAATAAAGCTAAAATAAAATAAAATATAAATATTAGATGAAAAAGTTCAACTAAAAAAAAATTAAGCAAAAGTTATGCAACTTACCAGGAAAAAAATTTAAGTACTAAGATTACTAAAACTGAAATAAAATAAATAAATTAAAATTAATTAAATTAAAATAAATAAATAATAGAAATAGAAATAACAAATTACTAAAATCTAAACTAAAATTAAGTGTAAATTATAGAAATAAAAGCTAGTGCAAAATATTAATTAATTACTTTTTGTATTATTGATACATTTTTAATCTTTTAATATTATTATTAAACTAGTATTAATAATAACATAAATACTATTTATTAATAAATTAATGTATTATTTATAATAGTTTATTAAAGATACAATCAATGCAATTTATAATAATACTAAAATAACACTGCATTGAATATACTGTATCTTTTGAACTAGAGAGGTTTGATAATAAATATAATACATTCAGTTCCCAAAAGTATCAATAATAATCATTCAGTGTAATTTCAAATGTACTGATTGACAGATGGAGGAGGTGAATGCAGAGAGACGTCTGGACTACGGCTCTGAATGCCCAGCACTGATGATCCCAGGTAAAGCTGCAGCGTTTTAGCCATCGGCTGATAACTGCAGCCGCACCTGATTGTGTTTCTGTTTCCTGCTGGTAGGTGAGCTTGTGATGTCACTTCCTGCGCACGGGATAGAGAAGCCTCAAGCCCCGGGACGGAGCAGCATGAAGCCGATCATCCAGGACCCGCTGGGAAGCTCCATCATGGTTCATCAGCAGCTGATGACGGATGCGCAGACGCAGCATTTAGGGATGCCTTGAGTCAAAAACACGCTAGATCAAAACATTTCAATCTGACTGACTTTATGCAGCTTCTGTACGGACTTATGTGAGCCTGCAGCACAAAAGCAGTGTTAAGTCGCTGGGGGATATTTGTAGCAATAGCCAACAATACATTGTATGGGTCAAAATTATGCATTTTTCTTTTATGCCAAATATCATTAGGATATTAAGTAAAGATCATGTTCCATGAAGATATTTTGTAAATCTCCTACTGTAAGTATATCAAAACTTAATTTTTGATTAGTAATATGCATTGCTAAGAACTTCATTTATAGATGATTTTCTCAATATTTAGATTTTGTTGCATCCTCAGATTCCAGATTTTCCAAATATTGTCCGATCCTAACAAACCACACATCAATGGGAAGCTTATTTATTCAGCTTTCAGATGATACATAAACCTCAATTTCAAAAAATTGACCCTTATGACCCTTTTGTGCTCCAGGGTCACAGATATATAATGAGCGCTGATGAGAAAGAACTAGGATCTCTGGATTCACCAATTTTATGTTAGACTGAATCTTTGAAGGACATTCAGAGTTTAGTTTGAGGCACTTCGTAGCAAGTAAATTGATTTCCAGCACATTTTGTTACAGAATAAACATTTGTACTTTTTTCACCATAAACACATTCGGTACACAGCAAAGTGACTGAAATCTTGAACATCGTACACAATGAAATATGTATGGAAGCCCATTTCTGCTGCGGAATAAAAAGGCTTTTTATCTTACAATTCTGACTTTTTTCTCAGAACTGCGAGATATAAACATACAATTCAAATATAAACATTAGATGAAGATTTTTTTTTGTAGCATTGGCAACTAACAACTTATCTTAAAGAAAGTTTAAGTACTAAAACTAAAACTGAAATATAAGTAAATTAATATATTAATGAAAATTAATGAAATTAAAATAAATAAATAAGCTAAACAGATACACACACACACACACACACACACACATATATATATATATATATATAACAAAAAAGTCAGAACTGTGAGATATAAACTCAGAATTGCAAGAGAAAAAAAAGTCAGATTTTCTAATTCAATTTTTTAGAATTGTTTTATTCAGTGGTGGAAATGGCCTTCCATAAATAAGCTCTCTGTGATTAATTGAAAGTTGTTCTGTTTCTGTAACTTACTGTATGTTGTTTACATTGTACAGCTGGTTTATTTTAAGATGATTTATAATAACTCATTAAGGATGAAATGCAAACAATTTTATGACACTATTGCTATTTTTGTATTTTGAAATAAAGGCCTGTAGATGTGTGAGGTGTGTGTTTGATGCAGCACTAGATGGGGCTGTTGGGTGATGATGATGGTCTGAAATTATTCTGTCCTGTAAATTCATTCCAGTAGCACCATATTTATTTCATATCTGTTACAATTTGTGTTGCTCAAAACAACTGTTTGACACTTTAGTATGACACTTTTCGCTGTTTCTTTGTGTGTGTAAAAAATTAATAATTATAATAATAATATAACAATCACTTTTCGCTGTTTCTTTGTGTGTGTGTGTGTGTGTAAAAAAATGAATCAATAATTATAATAATAATAATATTAAAAAACTTCGCTGTTTGTGTGTGTGTGTAAAAAAAAATTATAATAATAATATAAAAAACAATTTTCGCTGTTTCTTTGTGTGTGTGTGTGTGTAAAATTTATAAATAATTATAATATTTAAAAAAAAACACTTCGCTGTTTATTTGTGTATGTGTGTGTAAAATGAATCAATAATTATAATAATAATATACAAAATGTTTCTGTTTTCATTCCAGTAGCACCATATTTATTTCATATCTGTTAGATTTTTGTTGCTCAAAACAACTGTTTGACACTTTTCGTTTCTTTGTGTGTGTAAAAAAATTATAATTATAATAATAATATAAAAATCACTTTTCGCTGTTTCTTTGTGTGTGTGAGTGTGTGTGTGTGTGTGTGTGAGTGTGAGTGTGTTTGTGTGTGTGTGTGTGTGTGTAAAATTAGTC